TTCTAACTTTTATAGCGATAACTGTCAACTCTTTATGCCCGTTTAAGTATGAATTGCGAGTTAGATAATTTTATCTTGACTGATTGTGGAATTTCAGCCTATTCTTTGAATTCTAACATGGCCAGTTTAATCTACTACTGTATAAGTATTTTTGGACTTGTCGTTAGAAATGTTAGATAAGTTAGCTGAAAGTATTAGTCTACTGTAGTCCCTTGTATCCAGTTTTATCATTTACAGCCCCAATTACAAACAGTTAAAATTTAATAAGATTTAACATGATTTTTAGGGGCATTTAGTAACTGGACAGAGCAATAAACTGTAACACATACTTATGGAAGAACAATTACTGATTTATTTAAGTAACGTTTCGAAGAGTATTCTCGTAACTTTTCCAAGCAAAATTTAACATTGCGATATGAAAAAAAAAACAGACGCTAGATTTGTTTACATGATGTACGGCTTGTAAAATCATTTTAAATCTCCATATTCATGACAAGACAAAAATAATTATTAAAACTTAAAGTAAATCTTATCTATTCGCCAAAATATTTTCCGTACAAAAATAATTATGTCCAGTAATATCTAATGAAGACAGGCATAATTTTGCCCGAACAGCAATTGAATTCGAACAGTCAAGGGTTCCATTACGTACACACCAATGTGTACACGGAACACCGGGCTTTCATGACATCCGAACAACTAGAAAAATTTCTCCGGTAAAGAAATGGGTGTCATAACATGGTGTCAGCGCTTAAAATGCTTCCGACATTTTACCACAATGCCACAGATAGGTCTTTGATCTTCACAACGTACGCATCAACTTCATATTCGTTTCGTACGCTCTTGTTTTCACCCGACAGTGTTGCATATAAACGCTTTGTATTGGTTCCCTTTTAATATCAGGAGAAAAGATAAATTATATTAGTTTTAAATGGACTAAGACTAGTAATTATTTCCCCTTATTTCATGATGTAGTGCGAGTTATAAACAGACAATTTTTCACTTAATTTTTTTCTTCCCTCTTCCTACATTTTTGGGTTGACTTTTTGATATAGAATTGGAGAAAATGGATCAAATTTGCAATTTCATAGCAGTTTTGGGTAATACATATGATTTTGCAGCGGAGGGATAGGGGGTGTAAAGTGTCTTTCTACAGAGCAATCATTGTGTCGGAAGTGAGATTTTCATCCCAGTCAACATCAAATCCCCGTAGCAAAAAATCTAAACGGTCAACCCACTAAAAAATTATGATGAGGAGATTGCCAAATGTGGTATCCATTGTGCCTATAAAGATTGGAACAAACGGAATGTTGAGCAAAAAGCTACAATCTGTGATGTTACAGCCATTAAACCATACTGATCCGCAGTGAATATTCGCTAGGCCGCGACAATCACTGATAAGGATGACATCGGTGCGACTTAATGAGCCACAAATATTAACTTTTTTCCTAAAATTCTAAAACATTTTTTTTTATGTATTAGAAAAATAAATAAAGACGTTTGAAGTATTTATAGGTAAAAATTATTTCCTATTTTAGTGTAAATGGGTATTAAATGACAATATTGGTGCCAGTCATTATCACATATGTGATAGAGCTGGTTAAACACATTCCAAATATAATTTTAACACAGAGATCATTGCTACTATAACTGACCAATACAGGTTTCCCGAATAGGAAGTGACGAACGCCAAAGGAAAACACGAGTCATCTCTCTATATAACTGACTGATGTGACGAGTGATAGCGGATATACGGGCGAATTTCTGCTCACTAATAATTCTCTCGAAGACCAAAAGTTGTTGTGTGAGACTGTGACAGGATATCTGACAATTCATAAAAAGAATTGACTCCCACTAGATAAGAGAACACGAAAGAAAAAAGAAAAAGTCCGTGCATTACCATGTTTTTATAAGGTATAGAATGAATATAAACAAGGACTATTTCTATTTTTCTCGTGTTCTCTAATCTAATGACATTCAATTACTTTATTGAAGTGTCAGGTATCCTTTTACAGTCCCATATAACAACTTTGAGTCTTGGAAGGAATTATTAGTGAGCAGAAATTCGGCCGTGTATCTGTTATAACTCGTCACATCAGTCAGTTATACAGAGAGATGACTCGTGTTTTCCTTTGGCGTTCGTCACTTCCTATTCGGGAAACCTGTATTACTCAGCTATCGTAGCAATGATCTCGGTGTTAAAATTATATTTGGAATGTGTTTAACCAGCTCTATCACATATGTGATAATGACTGGCACCAATATTGTCCTTTAAAATGAGTAAAAGGCGCCATTCTGCTCGAATCTGTAACGTCTTATGTAAACAATGCACGTGCCATTGAGCCAATGATTGGCGCCGTTTGATATGACGTCATTTTTTGAAGGCAGTTATCTTATACAGAGATATTAGAAGATTTTCGTAAAACTCTTTGAAACAGATTGCCATTAAACCTTGAAGTCAATGGGCAAATAATTGCTAGTCTGAGACCAAATGATGTCCAAAGTTAACTGTTGGAGTTATGTCCCTTCGTAATAAAACGTTTAATCGACTAAATTAAAGTATCAACCAGTCTATTTTTATTCACCTCCAAATTAAACACTAATATATGTTGGTGCAGTTTTCGAACTGGGTGGCATTTATTGGGATCCATATGTATTATTACAATGCCACCTGTGTTTTAATATGCGAACAACAGATATCAATTGGCGCCCATATGGATCCCATTATAATCAAAGGGAGATAACCCAATTTAAAGGTTGAGCTAAGAGTGGAATGCTTGCTTTCAAATTTTGGACTGGTTTTTAAAATACAAAAATGTTCATTGGAGCATTTTCCTTGTGTTTTCTATGTAGAAGCAATGTATATTTCAAAGTAGTATGCCGACTTTTACAGAGCCAGATTGGAGTAGGCCTCTCAAATTATTTCATAAATTACTCAGTACGTATTGATTAAACATACTTTATGTAAGAGCTAAATCTGTCTATTGCAGGTCTTTCTTTAGGCCTGAAATCTTATCTAAATTATTAATTAGACATTAAATAACTTATCCAGACCATAATTCACTCTCGATGTCATTGCTAGCCTGCGACGTTTACTGGATTAGGATCCGATCTTCTGCTCTACGCTCATTCGTGATTAAATCAAGAAATGGATAATCGAGACAATGTATTTTATCGCACCCTTTAGTAATGATGATCGAGGCTAGGCCCAAAATCAATCGCAAATTCTCGATTCAGAGTGGATCAATTTGACTGAAATTTTCAGCAAATTTCCTTACATTATCTAGTTTTTAACTATTATAGCGAGAACTGCCAGCTCTTCATCTAATCTCCCATAATGTATCGTTAATATATAAAAAAATATTTCTTGCTGTTATGAATTAGTTGGGGCTAAATATTCAGAGACATGTTGAAGGGAAAAATAAAGTGTACAAACTCGATCCTTCAATATGTTGCGAGAAAACATTAATCAAGATAATATAGTGTATGTCCAAAACAGACACCTTTGAAACTAAAATATTTCAATTTTTGTTTGCTCTGTTTCCGGGTCACCCGCTAGTCATTTATAGTTCAACAAACCGTCAATAGATGTAAGCGGCCGGTAAAGTCTAAATATTAAGGCCACTTGCAGATTTCGTCAAGGTCTTTCTGGTTGCAACCTACCTGTATATTACTCAGGATAACAAATCAAGTGAAATAGGGTTTAACATCCTACTTTCTGCACCGATTGGGTTAATAAAGGGGCAGAATGGAAAAAAAAATGTTAAAAATTCTGGTTTATGGTACCCTTATACAGCCATTGATATAATAATAATGGGGCCGTCTATTTTTAGGGTTATATTCAGTACTATAAATAGAATGAATTTTTTCTTTAATATTATTATATGCCTTACTGAATTTATTATGCTTAAATTCATCAAATGAATATTATAAATTTATAAAAAAGATATAATACAATATGCACATTATAATTAAACTAAACTCATATTATGGGCACTCAAAGCGCGAGATAATGATATAGACATTTAATATGTGATATCACAATTAATGCTTTGCATCAATAAAATTGAATCACAATGTCATCGTATTAATTCATAATAAAAATTGACGCCAAACAGGATGTTGGATTTCTCTGTTTAAAAAGCTCAATGTGTATGTATATTCGCCAAAATGACGATAGAGACCATGTATTTCTCAAAAAATTTCAAGCCGAGCGAGGGGGTGGGGGGATACATTTTCTCAGGAACCTGGTAAACACCCTCCTGCAAAAATTCCTAGATCCGCCCCTGTATTTGTGCTTCGCTTCTCGATCATTTTCGATATGTTTCTGGAGAAAAAATGGACCAAATTAAATGGTTTTATGCTACGTAAGGATTTTTTAATATCCTCGAGATTAAGACCCCAAACTTGGTTTTATTCTACTAAACATGCATGACAGATTGACAAATGTCCAGTTTCACTATCGAAATTGAACAAAATTAGTCTAAATAATTATGTTGTGCCTGTATTTCACATGTCATTTGTTTATTATGCCAATTAATCCACACAGAAACCGTATCCGCGAATAGCTTAGATCAGTGGTTCTTAACCGGAAGGTACGTGTACCCCCTGGGAGTACGAAGCATCAAAGCAGGGGATCCGAAATATGGTGTCAAATTCAAGACTGTAAGATTAGTAATATGCCTGACTGTCGGTGTACTGTGTAAGTACGGTTTGTACGTGAAAGACTATTTATATATTCAGTATATTTATTTGTATGTATTCAACGCATTGTATAAATAATTTTATTTCATATCAATTATTATAATTTCATTTATTTCCGTAAGTCATTTTAGACAGGAGTAAGGGGAATTTTTTTTTATGAAAGCTCAAGGGGTACAGTACATAAATAGGTTATGAACCACTGGCTTAGATGATGAAATGGAAAGTTAAGCCTGAATAAGCTGTCATTATTACCTGCGCTGTCTTGAGGCAGCTTGGATAAAAATAGTAACAGCAGCGAACAATCCAGCCAATCAAACGATAAGATAAATACAGACGTATAGTGGCTTATATAGCGATTGCATAGGTCGTCTGATATCAATTCAAGACAACGAATTACTCTACACCGTGTTTTACAGCGGAGAAGGTAGGTTATCCTAAACTTGTTACACATGAGGAAAAAATTATTATTCGATATATGGCGTAATATCATATTTACGAATAACGTTTCGAAACGCCCGGGCCTACTTGAAATGTTTTTAAGAAAGAGGTGGTTAATCATACATTATGCAAGAGCTAAATCTGCCTATTGCAGGTCTTTCTTTAGGCCTGAAATGTTATCTAAATTATTAATTAGACATTAATTAACTTATCCACTCTCAACTCTCGATGGCATCGCTAGCCTGTGATATTTACTGGATTAGGATCTAATCTGCTTCTCAACGCCCATTCATGATTAAATCAAGAAATGGATAATCGAGAGTATGTTTTTGATCGTATCATACCGACTTTAGTAATAATGACCGAGACTAAGCCAAAAATTCTCGGTTCAGAGTGGATCATTTTGACTAAAATTTTCAGCAAATTCCCTTTACATTATCTAGCGAGAACTGCCAGCTCTAATCTCCCTTAATGTATATTTAATATATTGATAAAAAATCTACAAAATGTAGCTTGCAAATTGTTATTTCTGTCTAAAAGATGTGTAAAATTTGTGTGGTGCAGTCCCCCTGCACTTACTATTAGACAACTTACCGACAGTTATGTCAGTATCCATTGCTGGAAGTAGGGTACTATAGTCCAGTCATCTTGTGCACGGATTAGTACAATTAACTAGAATAGTGTTGACGTAAAACGGCGCCTATACGAAACACTTACCCAAAAATGGTAATTGCCCCTCCTAATAGATGGCGCATTATACTATTCTATATAGGTAAGAGCGGGTTTGATTTACCTTCAGATATCATGATGAGACCGTAGGGAAGACATTATTCGGAACTCAAAGGGAACATACCCATAGCCTCCACGGCTTACAGGCTAGGGTAATAAAAAACATCATCCTAGCGCGAGCCTTATGTAGAACTATCAAGAAGTATGTGGCTCTTGCCACGTTTACGCCGTTCTGGTCTGAGTTAGAAAGGATATTAAACTCAGACCGTGGATATTTTAATAACTCGTAAAGTACTATCATAACTTTGTGGTTTGCCGTATTTGTTTAATTATATAAACTTAATAAAAACATAAACGGAGTTCCAGGGTCAGTTAATTGATGATTGACGCAAAACTCCAAAAGAATTGTTCTTCCTCAGGCATAGATCGTAATCACACCGTTTCGAAAAGTCTATAGGGAGGTTGACTTGATTTTTGTTTGTACATGAATGTGATGTACCTGTATATGTATTTGTGTTTAGTAGAATTATGTTCAGGTATAAACCTGTATACCTGTAAATCGCGAGTAGCGTTTAGGTTTAGGGTAAAGGAAAATGTCCAAGGTAAATTTAGAACTGAATGGCCTTTTTAAATTCGAGAGATAATTTTACATAAGCATAAGGGTATGAATAGGATTAATTTATAACCGTATCCAATTAATATTAAAATAAATGTTATAAATTAAAGGTAATGTAACTGAATTATTAGTGGCCTGATTAAGCAAGTACACGGTTCAGTTACGGGAAGTAATGTACCTTATCTTAACGCACAGCAACGACGAACCAGACAGAGGAATTCCGGCATATAAGCAGATATGGTTCTAAAGAGGAAATGAAAGAAGTGTTAACAGATCACCAAAATTTACAGTGCAAGAAACATAACATTTCTGAACAGGACCTGAAATTATGTAGTGTTCAGCCATCCATCCCCCGCGAGAAAAAAGAAATGGCAAACATTCCGTTTACCGAAGAAAATGAAAGAATCGATCGTTCTGCGTAAAAGATGTTTAGATCAGCCAAAACGTGCTGTATGGTACGTTGCAGATAGATGACTAAGGTTCTGCCCCCTGGAATGAAATAGAATAACAATTGAGCAATCAACTGGAGATACTGGGTGCGACTTTAGTGTAAATAGAGAGTATTGCAAGTGCGGCAAGTGGAAGTAGGGTACCGAGTGCGACTTTGTGGAGTAAATACAGAGTATTATGTAATAGGGCGGTTGAGTTACCGACTTAATGTGACAAAGTGATCTATACCTGAAGTTGACGTTTAAACTCCCTATAAACTTTTGTTAAGGCACGATCTTATTAAACATTTAATTTATTCAATATTTTCTTTAGAAGCTACACGTGATCCGTGTATAATTCGACAGAACTTTAAAGAGAATGTATTAGTGACCTGACAATGACTTCCAAAGAAATATGCAGTGTAATTACAAACACCATAATTTGATAATAAACAATACCATATATGATTATCACTCCTGTCCATCTCCCCTAATTGTTAGACGCTATATAAGCAGGCCTTTACTGACAGCATGTCAGACTTGGAATAGAGCTCCTCCCGATTTATGTCTATAAAGGTCTTATCAATTATGCTGATCTTCTTTATCTGTAAGATAGTGTTGCATTAATTAAAGATACATTATGGGAGATAAGATAAAGAGATGGCAGTTCTCGCTATAATAGTTAAAAACTAGATAGTGTAAAGGTAATTTGCTGAAAATTTCAGTCAAATTGATCCACTATGAGCCGAGAAAGAAGCGGGTGAAATTTTTACATAGTCTCGGTCATCATTACTAAAATCATTAATATAAACAGCATAGTCTCGATTATCCACTTTTTCTGATTTAATTATCAACGGCCGTTAGCGGCATATAGGAATCTAATCCAGCCAACATCGAAGGCTAGCCTTGACATCGAGAGTTTATTATGGTTTGGATAAGTTAATTAATGTCTAATTGATAATTTAGATAACATTTCAGGCCTAAAGAAAGACTTGTAATAAGCAGATTTTGCTCTTGCATAATGCATGTTTAAGGTGCTGCAGGTGATTCGTTTAATCGAATTAATTATTTCATTTAAACGATTTAATAAATCCACTCATGGCCTCAATACCTCACATCAAATTGAAAAGTCTCATAGAACAACTTTTGGTCTTCCAAGGAATTATTATTGAGCAGAAATTCGCTCGTGTATCTGTTATCACTCGTCACTTCAGTTAGTTATATAGAAGGATAACTCGTGATTTCCTTTTGCTTTCGACACTTCCCTTTCTTGAAACCTTCATGACGCATCTATCATAGCAATGATCTCTGTGCTAAAATTATATTTGAAACGTGTTTAACCAGTTCTACACATATGTGATAATGACTGGCACCAATATTGTCCTTTAAGATAACTTGTAAATTCCATATATAGTAATGATCTCGTGTGTGTAGGCCCAGGTGAAAGGTATATTACCACCAGTTTACCGACAGAGAGACGCAGATGAGAGACGAGCGGGGAGGAGAGGTGAGGAGTAGAGATCAAAGAATGGGCTCATATGATTTCAGCCGCAGCCTAGTCACAAGGGCGGAATAGTTGAAATATAGTCATATACTATATTAAAGATACATTAAGGGAGATTCGATAACGAGTTGGCAGTTCGCACTATAATAATTAAAAACTAGATAACGTATTCACGTATTTTTCAACATGTAAAGAATATATTTAATTTTAAGACTGATTATTATTTCTAAAATATTCCAAAAATATATACAATAGCCATTCATGCGATTCGTCTGAAGGCCCTATAGGTCTTTTGGCCGCAAGTACTCCTTTCACCAGCTATAGCAGGTTATTGCACGTAAATAATTATGCCGTTAGATACAACGAGACCCGATTTTAACATAAAAGTGAGACGTCTAGAACGTACTGATCCCTGGGTAAAGAGACTCCCAGTTGTGAGCTAAGGTCACGATAAGTTAACTTCACTTCCGTAGTATCATGACAGATTAGGTAATTAAGAAACAACCCCCCCACCCCCCAAAACGACGGGATAGAGTTTTTCTTACACTCTTTCCTTGTGTCCCTTATCCATCAAATAATTCACTGCTATCAGTTATGACCAGTTAAAACAAGCGGTTGCCATGCAAAATGCGTCCACATTTTCCAAGACATGTATGGGGAAGAGGTAAAATCAATAGGGCTCATCTTCTCATTCAAAATCCTTTGATACTTAAAATAAATTTGCTAAATTTCGGAGGGCCTAAAAATTCATACATATTTCACATTTTGCGTAAAAAGCATGGGCTATTATAGCTCTAGAATGTAAGGTCTGCTCTGGTGTATACCAAAGTCGAACTGATCCAAGAGCATTTGATCTTTAACACATAGTTTAAACTTCAGTCCACGAACAGGACAACCATTGTAGTCTCAGGAAGGTCCACAAACTTCATTCATATTTCATATTTTGCGTAAAAGGCGGGGGGGGGGGCAATGCGTACCAAAATTGAATTCATCCAAGAGCTAGTAATACTCGTTTTAAGTTCATCTAGTTGGGATAAAATTTCTGACCTCTAGATGGTCCACAACCTTGGCATTATATGTTTTATACTACATGTATTTGCGTAAAGAGAAATGGCCATTTGACTGAGAGTTTCGGTCCGATTTTCAGTAAATTCGGACTCAACCATAATTATGATGTAATGGTGATATATTTGAACGGTTTTGAAAATAAGATAAAAAAAAGGGTTATCTGTAGAGGGCCCACAACCTAAAAACGTGATATTTCGTAAAATCAAATATTTTGACAATCAAGTGTCCACAACCATGGTATTATTATGCATATATTTTCCAAGTTCAGCATCGCAGGAAACCACCATGGACTGTGTTTGCACGGTTAGGGGATTTAGAAAAGAAATAAAATTTCACTTCATTGCCGAGTAATTTTTATAAGCCAAAAATCACTCAGAAAACGTCTCAAGTCCTAGGATGGTAATCCCCCCCCCCCCCCCAATCAAAAATTGCTTCCGTCGGCCCCGGTCTTCTTGATTGGAAAACAAATACGAGCATACTTTGGAACAAGAACCGGTCATGACGTCATCACCACCATCGTGGAATTATGGACATATCACACATCGAAGTTCTACATGGTATACAGCTGTAGTCTAAAGTTGTGTCTTCTGTTTAACAGTTATTGGAATACATTATACGAGAAAGCAATTTGATTATATTTT